GCTGGTTTCCAAGGCCAAACTGGTCTTGCCACATTTCCATACCCAATGATCCACAAACAACCATAGTTAAAACTGGACTTGCTATTTCATTTGCATACACAAAGGATTTTGAATTTGAATTGACATTCTCACATACCAAGGGCATACATATGTCTGTCCCTGCCTTTCACTCCACCAAAAGCCTGGGAGTAGCTCAGTAGACTGAAGTCTCTGAAAGATCATGCTGCCAACTTCTTTCTTTCAGTTAGTCTCAAATGTACTACAAGATCTCTCTACTTATTGATTCTACAGACTAACAAAGTTTGTAATCCCTTTGATTCTGGGGCAAAGATCAAGTGTGGTTCTAGATCAAGAATTGACAGAATATCCCTCAGGTCGGATCTTCCATTGGCAAAGGGCACAGAGTGTCTTCAGTGCTGCTTTCCCAGAGGCCAGAAGTGGTTTTAAGACTTGCAGTGCCTGCAGCTTGAATAAGCTTTTATTGCCCTTATAAGCCTCACAATGGCCACAGTACACACACACATGCGCGCGCGCGCGTGTGTGTGTGTGTGTGTGTGAGAGAGAGAGAGAGAGGCAGTTTATACTTGGCACATGTTTTTGAAGGCAGGGGTTTTTGCAGGACAGAGCTGAGTGAGGATGATTGGTCCTTGAAGCAAATTAAACTCATTCTGTCACCGAAAGAGAGAGAATAAGAGTGTGGAGATGTTTGCTTGGAAAGAACATCTCCGTTCCTGATGTAGGTCACATGCGGATGTGTATGTGGTGTGCAGGTTCAGGCAGACGAAGCAAAAAGCAGAGGCAGTGGATAAGCAGGAGTGTGACTTCCACTAAGCTTCTGTGTGGTCCACATACAAATTGAGTATATCCCACATTTGTGTGCATGTGGGTGAGTTGTGCTGGGGAGAAGATGGTGAGGTAGCAAAGGAAAGTGGCAACACACAACTGGATGGGGAAGATCAGAAAAATCAGGAAGGGGTTTAGGGCTGGGTTAAAAAGAGGGCTGCCTGTTGGGGAGGGAGGCTACTTAAGAGTTTGAAACAGTTACTTTGTTGGATTATAACTCCCAGAATCCCCTGGGAACTATACTTCAAAATCACCTTTCCAAGGTGTAGTCTTGCTGAGTGGTTTGGCATGAGCTTTACCCCTTGAATATCCTAGGTTCAATCTCTGGTATTTCCAGTTAAGGAAAGCCCAAGTAACAGGTGGTGTGGTTGAGGACCCTCTTCTGTCTGAGACCTTGGAGAATTGCCCCCATTCCGAGCCAAAAATACTCTACTAGAAGGACAAACAGCCTGTGTCTCCCCCATTATTATAGCTTGGACAGGAAGCCACAAGAGTAGGATTTTAGTTTCTCAGTCCGGCAAACAAGCTTGACCCAGCATTATTACTTGACCTAATCTGGCCCAGTTTTGTTAAGAGGGCTTTGCTATAATTTTTGCTGTAATTTTAACTAGACCTGGGTACACAGGCTGAACATTATCCTCAAGCTCCCCTGTTTCCAGATCCAGGACCTGCTAGTCTTGAGATCTGACAACACAGAGGAATGCTTATCAAGCTGGTTTCCCCCTCTACCCTATTAAATAAACCCTTAGGGAGACCTGCCATGAATCAGCCTGAGAAGCTCTGTCCTGTGACTCTTTTGCATCTGCAGTGGCATATTTTGGAGGGGGGGGAAAACAGCTTGGTGATGCTGTCTCTGCCTCCCAGAA